TATTCCCATGTTTCAAGCTTAAGTGGTTGGGAGAATAGGTTGTGAATGGAAATTGATGGTTTTGGTATTTGGCAAACCATGGTTAAATCCTCAGGTAGTGGCTGAACCTAAGGCTAGAGCCCTGTAATGACAGGTGAATCACTGGGCCCTTCCCCAGTTGCGGCACCAGGAGTAACTGCCTGGGGTTTCTCTGATTGAGGATAATGAAGGACCAACCAGGATCCCAGGAAGCAACCAGTAATTGTCCCTAATTTAGTTTCAGACTCCCAGGGCAGTGTCTGAGCCTTCAATTACCATATGCAATAAGGCCTGTGTGGAGGTGTGAATTGTGAGGTGCCTAAGCCCAATGGATACTTTTCAGCCATTCCACAAGGGGCAAGTTCAGCCAGTGTTGTCATTCATCTTTATAACCCTAATGCACCATGACTTAGGGCACAGTAGGACACACCAGTTAGTCTTTCAAGGAGCCCTGCAGGACTCGGCTAAAAAGAAGCCACTTCGACCTTTTCTCCTACCCACCCCAAAATTAAGGCAGGGATAACAAGCAAGGGTTTCACTTCAAATTGCGGGTTTCATCACATCTGTGAGCCCAGGCCCAGAATCACAGTTGAGGTCTAGCCAAGAATTTGACTCATTCAGGTGCAAACTCCACCCACATTTGCTCAATTTCCTCCATTCTGCTGACAGCAGCTCTTTTCTTCCTTTTGCTTGAAAGGCCAGAGTCTTTGTGCATGCTAAGATTAACTGAGGCTGACATTCCCCTCTGTGGCTTCCCCGCCTGGCCTCTCCGATCCTCCAATATTCACCTTTGCTCTGGGCTGAGCGGGCGCTGCCTGGGTTTGGGGAGCTGTAGGGGCCCTGCGGGATTAACTCGAACCGCCCTGGGAAGTGCTGGTGGCCCGGCACTTTAAAAGGCTCTCCGGGGCCAGGACCCGCTCCCTCTTTCCCGTTCCCGGCACGGAGCTCCGAGCGCGCGCTCACTTAGCCTCGGACGGGAGCGGGCGCGCGCCGGGCGGGGCGGGGCGAGGAAGGGGCGGGGCCTCTGCGGG